GAAACAGAGTTAATAAAAGATTGTATGATTAAATGGGCTCAGAATATCCAGGAACCGATTTTATTGGATCAATGGGAGAATATTTGGATTAGAAATGTTAAATTTACACAGGCCCAAAATTTGAGGGAAAATTTTTACAAAATGTTTTATAGGTGGCATTTGGATCCCAAAAAATTGTCTTGTATGTATCCTAACTTACAGCCCAAATGTTGGAGGTGTGGTAGTACTGATGCAACTTACTTTCATGTTTGGTGGACCTGTAAGAAGGTTAAAGCTTTTTGGATAATGATTTGGTGGAACATTCAAAAAGATTTTTAAAAAGAAGATAAAGTTTACTCCTCAATTATTTTTATTGAGTATTTTTATGGATTTAGATTTTAATGAAACTATTTTAATGTTGAATCTAATAACTGCAGCAAGGTTACTTGTGGGTTTATATTGGAAGAAGGATTCGCTGCCTACTTTAGAAGAATGGATACTTAAGGTTTCTACTTTAGCGGAAATGGCAAAGATTTCTGCTTATTTAAAAGACCATACACAAGAAAAATTTATTATAGTGTGGAGAAGGTGGATAGATTATATTCAGAATAAATATGGAACTTTAAAGTTCCATTTATTTTATGATTAACTTTTTCTTGATGTAATAATTATTATTTATAGAATTTTATAATATTCGATTGATAGTATTATATATTATGTTTATATTATTATTTTTAAAGTTTAGAGAGAGTTAAGGGTTAAGTATGAATTTGTTTATTGTATACATTTTTTGTTTTAAAAGTTATAGCTTGTGTTTGTTTTGTTTACAATAACCCTGTATTTTGCTCCGAGAGGCGGGGGGGTAGGGCGGGAGGGGATGGGTGGGATTAAGTAGGTCAGATATATAGAAATATTAATGTATAAAATAGAGTAATTCAGAGGGTGGTTCCGCTTGGGTATTTCCCCTGAACTGTATCCAAAGAGGGATGAGAGGGAGGAGGAAGGGATGGAAGGAAGTTGGATGGGAGGAAGAGATGAGGGGAGAGACGAGATGAGAGGAGAGAAGGAGTAGGGAAGTAGGAAGGAAGGTTGAGAGGGTGGATGCAGTCGGGGGGAGATAGACGAGCGACACCTAAGGTCTTATTTTAAAGGTATATTTCTTTTTTATTTTTTTTTCATATATAATGTATTGAAAGTATTAATTATATTGAAAATTGAAATAAAAACTTTTTACAAAAAAAAATGATCAAAGGCCTGGAGACTAAAACATACAAAGAGCGGCTGCAGCACTTGGGTTTAGCTAGTCTAAAAAAAAAAAGAAACGTGGGAGACATGATAGCAATATTCCTGTATTTGAGGAGCTGCCACAAAGAAGAGGGGGTCATGTTATTCACCAAAACATCAAGAGGGCAGGACAAGAAACAATGCTTGGAAACTGAACAAAGAGAAGCATCCTAGAATTAAGGAGAAACTTCCTGACAGTGAGGACAATTAACCAGTGGAACAGCTTGCCACCATAAATCGTGGGCGCTCCATCAGTGGAGATTTTTAAGAAGAGGCTACACGGTCACCTGTCTGAAATGGTATAGGTTCTCCTGCTTGAGCAGGGGGCTGGACTAGAAGATCTCCAAGGTCCCTTCCAGCTCTATTCTATTTACATGAAAAGTTTCATTCTTGCATTTACTGTATGTGTGTAAGTGGATTTCATCTGTCTATTTAACATCTGTAAAGTTAACTTTAATATCTTTTCAAAGTGTGCCCTCAAGCTATTCACACACACCCCCAATTCCACTTCTCCAATTCTTATCCTCTGTTCTCCATTCCTCATGTCTGACCAGCAATGCCTCTTCTGGAGAGTCACCCACAAAGGGGGGAGGGGGCCTGTTCTCATATCTTTCAGCCTGCACAGATAACTCTACAGCCTTTGGAAGCAGAGTACACTGACACAGACATTGTCTGCAGAGGAGATCCTCCATTCATTTGAGCCAGGGAATTGGGTTTGGATCCAGCCATCCACTAGAAAGTCACCACGCAAGCAGAGTGGAACAAATCTTCCCAAATCCTATATCGCCCAGATGCCTGTGAAAGCTGCAGAAAAAGAAAGGACTCCTGGATCTATTGGCCCCCACATGAAGCCTCAGAAGACAACTGTAAAGACTATGGGGGGAGGGCAGAAACTCATTATAAACTTTTTTCTTTCCTCATTTACCTTAATGTAATCAGCCAGTTAAATGGACTCATGGAGGGATGGCATTTGGAAGTGATTGGCACAACAAGTTTTGAACACCTTGGATTTCTGTCTGATGGGAGGGAAAATTTGTCCAGGATGTTTGTATTGCAAGTCTTGTAGAAGTAGCTGCACACACAGAGACACACACACAGAGAGAGACACACATACACACACACACCATTTAGAATCACACTGAGACTATCCCCCTCACCTACCTCCACATAAAGCTCCCTGGTTTTTGCTCTGTGGCACTCTTTGCATGCATACCTTCCTGCAAATTCCATGGGGGAGGGAACCATGCCCCCTTAGGCAATTTACAATTCATATGCCCTTAATGAGGAGGTAGCAGGAGTGCAGTACTGCAGGCCACTTTAGCTGACTGTGTTCAGCAGGTCAGCGGTTCAAATCTCACCGGCTCAAGGTTGACTCAGCCTTCCATCCTTCCGGGGTAGGTAAAATGAGGACCCAGATTGTTGGGGGCAATGTAAATATATATATACATTGCTTACTGATGTACACCGCTTAGAGAGTGCTCGCACTTAAAGCGGTATATAAGTCTCATAAATAAATAAATAAATAAACCCAAGTCCTGAATATGTTGCACTGGTGGACTCATAGTGGGAGTCCTAAGGCTTACTGTGTGCAATTTAAGAAATATTAATAGCCAAGCTTGCACACTGGCTAACGTTAATTGGACATCACAAACCTGTATGCACTAAACTAAGAGCTAAGGCAGGCTCAGTAAGCAACCCTTGAAAATGAGCTGGCAGTAATTATTTAATAAGGCAAAACATGGCTGTGAACAATTTTGGGGCAAACCTCACTGGAAACTCAGAGGAAGTGACATCAAACATCTAAAAGAATTGGCACAGAATATTGAACACTATAAATTTCTTTTCTACTTAACTGAACTTTTGTCTTGGCTTCTAAACCTTCATGGTTTGAAAGCTCCCCTTTTGGGAGGCCCTGCAGGAATCCTTTTCTGCTGCCTCTATCAGTAACTTCCCCTTTGCATTAACAGTTTAAAAGCTTATTTCTCCACATCCTGGAAGCCCCCCCCCCCATATAAGCACCCATTAAGTCTCCCTGACCAGATCAATTCTTAATCTTGTGCCAGTAAAAGTGCGTTAGCCACACTTATATGGCACAAAGTGGGATTGTTGGAAGTCAGCACACACACACCCACACACACACACACACACACACACACATACACACACCCTCCTAGAGAAAGAAATGTTTTGGAGAATATTTAAAAAGGTAGAATATTATATTTCCCCAAAGGAATAATGGAGAAAAATCTTAAGACAGAAACCCCTCCCCAATCTCCTTCCACCAAGCAGACCAGCTTTTAGAAATACAGATTTGGCGCCACCTATTCTTAAGCAAAATGTCTTCAGGAACAGCCCCACAGAAACAGGACATGATCTTTAAGATATAATAGGATTAACCCACCACCGTTAGAATACCAAAAGGGCACACTCAAGCTCAGGTCAAAATACATGGCACAGGAACAGGAAGAGCCTCAAATACAAAGCCACAGGAACAGGAAGAACCTTAAATACAAAGCTCAAAGAAGGTATAAAACCCACCATTCCCAGTTCCATTTTTGTCAGCTTTCCAAGAACCACATGCTGTTGGTTCTGTTCTTCAATGAACAGAACTTTCTTTCCTAAGGACTCTCCATTTTATTTATTCCTGGCTTGGACTGGACCTGATTATTATTATTTTTTTCAACATAACATTCTGGCAAGTTAAATCAATGGGGAAGCCAGATTCACTTAACCATGTTACTAATTTTAACAAGTGCAGGAATTGAGGTAATAAACGTGGCAAGAAAAGTTATAAAATGAGGCAAAATTCACAATGTCTCTTACCAACAGAAATTTTAGGCTCAATTGTGATTGTAAAGCAAGGACTACCTGTACTGTTGCCTATACTATATCAGTAGAAGATACATTTATAGTAGAATCTACTCAAACTTAACCAATAATTGGCAAAGGTTTTCCTATTTGGCAAGGTAGCCCAATTTTTATCACTTTCCTTTTGGACTTATGAATGTAAAAGAATTCTGTATCTAATTGGTCAAAAAGAATATCCTCATTAAATCTCTTTCACCCCAGGTATATTACAATTATCAATAACTTAAGCATACTGGCTTTCTTTATGTTTAGAGCAAACTAACTTAAATTCTTCAGAATCATACTGAAGCAGGAACAGAAATCATGCACTCAAATCATGCACAGCAAACATGACTAGTTTCACCTAATCCTTATAATTTATACTCTGCATACATTTCATATTTTAACATTTTTATTGGATGTATGCTACTCTGACAAAATGGTTCTATTAACCTACCCTAGATTTTCAGATTCAGAAAATATTCTTAGGATAACATTATGCCAACATTCCAACTACCTGTTTCCATGGTAACCATTAGAAATTGAGCATCTGGGGAAAGGAATCGGGTAGATTAACTGTGAGAAAATCATTTTGTTGCAACCTTTCTATTATATATTGTCCCTTATATACTGAATCGAATGTATCTATCCCATTTTATCTCACCCCTCCGCTGAAACCTTGCCTTTCCAAAAGGCAAGACAGAATTATGATCATATACGGAATGCCCTTCCCCCACGGCAGCCGGTGGCTGACAATACCACAATTCCCTTTTCAACAGCAACAGAGACGTAGCACGTTGCATCCAGTAAAATTAGATAACCTCAATTTTTCCCTTCTACCTTCCTTCTGAAGTGCTTCTACCTCTCTCTCTATTTGGATAACTTCTCACCCTCGTCGGAGAGGAAGCGCGTATCGTAAAACTCGCTGGCGAAAGTGCCATATGAGGAATCGTGAGATTGATGCTTCTCATCAGGCTGATTCCCTTTTGCATCGCGGCCTTGTACAGATCTTCTTTCATTGCCGGTGTTCTCATCCGCGATGATGGCCCAAGAGGAAGCAGTGGAAGCGGCCCCAAGCAGCATCCACAAGCTGCACCAATGCAGCCAGGACAAGATTGCTGCAAATGCGGCCATGGCGGCAATTCTTAAGTCCGATAGAGCACTTGCGCGTCGCCACCGCCTCTTCTGGGCTTCTACTCCACCCTTTGCAAGACTTCAGCCGAACTACTGTATTAGCTTCAGATCTTATTATCATAACCAGGCTTCAGCCTTTTTTTTTTTTTGCAAACCACTTCCTAATTGTTGCTTGAATATCTACATGAGTATGAATGGCTATATACTTATTGGTAGTCGAGATGATTAGTCATCTGTAGTGCAACCAAATGAACAGCCGAGGAAGACATATTTGAGATTGAAACCATGCTTCCATGGGGGGGGGGGGGAGAATAGCAGGCACAGAACTGGAACGCTAACAATGATACTGAATTACACCTATCTATATTCCATGAGAAGCAGCCAAGTACAGTATATAGTTTTGTGCATAATGATAGTAAATTTATTAATAAGCTATTTATTAGCTCAAGCTCCCCCAATCTTTTTAAGATAATGCACTTTAAAAAAAATTTTAACACACACACACAATCTTGAAAAGAAACATATTTTTACCAGTAGAGTTTTTAATCCTAAAAGGTTCTTCATTTTTCTATTTTTAATCATATTTATTTATGTGCTTAAGACATTTGTAGATAGTCAAGAAAGGGGAAAAATATAGATTAGGAATAAAACATTCTAAATTTTAACAATGTGTACTAATGTCTTATATCAAGAAAGACTGAGAGTCCAGTGCTATCTCTGTTTTTAATCCATTGAATATTTGAATTCAGGAGCATTGGCAATTTGTTTCAGTTTTGCTCAATCATATTTTTGTTCAAACTGTTTTTTAAATAAAATTTATTAAAGTTTAAAATTGCAAAGATAACTAATACAAAGAAAATTATGAAAATGAAAAGTTTGCTAATATTTCGAACATCTATTCTTCTTTTATCTCTTACCTATAAACAAATTACTGTGTAAAGCCTCATCATTGTCTTAATCAGCAAAAGTCTATTAATGGTTACCAGAAATAAGAACATATATAATTTAACCTTAAATAAATCAATTTCATATTCCTTTCCTTTCAACCCAGTAACTTTTTTAAAAAAATACAAGAAAAAACCTATTCTTCCCATATCTTTAAGCAACTCTTCAAAGCTTTGTCAATTTAGTTTTGTCAAGAAAAATAGCAGAGCTATTAAAACAAAACAAATCTATATTAAAAATCTACAAATTAATCATTTTGTCTCCTCCCAAAAACTCCTTCATCAGCTTAACACATATCAGAAATATCTATATATTAACCTTAATAAAATAAATAAATTTTGTAATTCCTTATTTTTAACATCCTAAATCTTAAAATACAAAAATTCTTCCTCTCATAACTGTTATGTGCTCCTGGCTACTTTCCTTCATGACCAGAAGCAAGCTCGCCTGACCAATAACCAGCCAAGACACAGCGAAGGCCTTTTGTTTCGTTTATTGCAATAAGCGGGGAGAGAAGCTATCAAAGCTTGGTTCTCTCCAAGGTTTAAACCCAAAATATCTCCTTCTTTTATTCATCCCTATCACCGGCCGCTACAGCCCTCCTCTTTCCCCATTGGCTGAGGTAGTATGAGGTTACACTCTTTCCGTCCGCCTATACACATTTCCTGATAACATACTAAATCATATTTACATATACAATAAGAATAAGAAAAATTAGACATGTAAATAGTTATTTTAAACTCAGTATATATTTATGTCTCCATTTTAAACAATAAGTTCTTTTCCTGCTTTTCAATTCAGTGTGCCTCTCTTTTTATCTTATTCAGCTTATTTTCCTATTCTCCATTCAACCTTCTTGGCTAGCCATTTCCTATATATTTTTATAGCTTCTCTTCTTCCTTTCTCAGACCCAACTATTTTTGCCTATATGGTTTATCTTACTTCCTTAATCTCTTCCTGACTCTCACCATCTGTATTTTTCTTATTCAGTTAGTTTCCATTGTATTGTAGGTTTAACTGTCTCTGAAGATTTATCATATTGATGTATATTTATCAATCCCCCCTGTACTTCTGTATACTCTGATGAATCTTCATTTTTATTTATATTAGATAACATAAATTGAATCTGTACATCTTCTCCAGAGATGTTTTTCGCTACTGACCCCAATGTTTTGGTGCAAAATGAAATACAGCAGGGTAAACATTGGAGACAGACACAACACATAATACCTATCACAACTATAAACACTAGTCCTATAAATATTTGTTTTAACCACCCAAAATTGGGAAGCCAATTTGTTAACCAACTCCAATCACCCCACATATTTTCATACTTTTGTTCAGGAGCTTTGGCCACATTCCTGATTCCTTTTGCAATGTCCATCACTGCTTCATGATTGTCATCTACCTTTAACTCCCACAAACAAATTTTATTTCCCAGGCTGTTCTGGTGTGTTGTATTCAGTAATATTAGAAGTAGAATCCACCCCTCTTAATTTTTACATGGTATTTCACACCCACAAATTGATCCATAATTTCAACAATAATAACAGATGGTGGATTAATTAATCTGGTGGATTAGCGCTGGCGATGGCGGCTACCTTGTAGCCGTCCTCCTGAGAAAGTGTTAGAACCGCTAAGAACAGCAGGCATCAGCTGTTCTGCGGTTCAAACCTCCTTCCCGGGCAAAGGGAGGGAGGGGGGTGTCATCTGAATAGTGGTAGAGCCTCTGAAATCCCCCAAAGAAATTTTTTTGGGGGGTGAAAAGAGTGCTCCCACGGAGTTCAGATTGTCTCCGCTTCTCAGCTGTCTTTGTCTCTAGGGACAAAGCAAGACGCCGCTCCCACCTCCGCGATTAAAGTGATCTGGTGAATTATCTTAAAAGCGGACAGAGCTGAATAGAGGATTTTATTTTTCTTTGATTTTATTTGGACTTTTAGTTTAAAGGTTTATTTTTATTCCCTTTTTTTGCTGAAAGGGAAAGTAAAATGGTGATCGGCAGGCTTTTTTTTTTAAGTGATCGGAATGGAACGGAACGGATTTGATTACTTATAATGATTTTTTGAAAGTGGACTTGGGTTCTAGGAGGATTATTTTCCCTCTCTGCTTAACTTTTTTTTAAGGGATTTTTTTTGTATCTTTTGTATTTTTTTTTTAAGAAGGAGGAAAGAAGGAATAAATTTTTGAAGATGGCTTCAAAGCATCAAGCAACTTCTACAGTACCTAAGGTGGCTTCTTCTCCTGCGATATTACCAGCACAACAACCTAAACCCACACCACTATCTTCTCCTCTGCAACCAATAATGGTAAAAGATATGCAAGATATAATGGGAAATGCTATATCTCAAATTAGAGGTGAAATGAAAGAGCTTTTAGTGGAGAACAATAGCATTTTGAGGCAAGATATAGTTTTGGCTTTAAAAGGACTTGCCTCTGTGGTTGAAAAATTGGATTCTCGAGTTGAAGAAGTTGCAGACAAGGTGGAGGTCTTGGAGGAAAAGTTTGAAGGAATGGAAAAAAGGTGGAAATTTCACAAGATGAAATTGTTATGTCCCAATATAGAGAGATGGAATTTGCTTTAAGAATCAGGGGCCTGAGAGAGGATATGCAACAAGACCTGAAAGAGATGGTAGTAAATGATTTTGCTGTGATTTTGGACAGAGAAAAAGACGAAATATCTAGAGAAATTGAAAAAATATTTAGAGTCAACTCCTGGGTTGCAAAGCAAAGAAACCTGCCAAGAGATGTGGTAATCTATTTTGGGAAAAGATCTCTACGCAATGAAATCATACAAGCCTTTTATAATAAGAGGTTCCAGATTGCTGCACAAGATGTTATAATTTTAAAGGAGATCCTAAATCTAAAATTTTAAGAAGAAGAAAAGAGTTTGCTTTTTTAACAGATGAACTTAAAAAAAGGCAAATGCCATTCAGATGGGATATTCCGACTGGAATAGTGGTGAGCCATGCGGGGACACGTTATAGACTTAATACTGTTTTTAAAGCAAAGGAGTTCTATACTTCGGTCCTGGGAGCATGCTCATCACCACCTGTAATGTTTAAAGTCTTGGATGGGAAGGAGGTTGAGCAACAGTCTGAAGAAGTTGTATTGATGAAAGCTGGAAAATCACAGGCTGAGTGGTTTCAACAAGCTGAGATGAAAGAGCAAAGAATGACTTGGGCAGCGCATAGACATAAGGAAAAGGAACAACAGAAGAAAGACATCAAAGAAGTTTCACAAGAATTTGTTTCTGAGCCTGTGGGAGGAGCAAGACCTAAGAGATCTTCGGTACAATCTTCAATGGCAGATCTTCAAGCAGTCTTCTCTAGGCTTTTGGATGAGGGACATGGAATGCTAATGGCCTTAATTCCCCTCAAAAGAGAAAGAAAATATTTCACTATTTGAAGCAACATAATAATGACATTATTTGTTTGCAGGAAACGCATATTATCTCTAAGGATCAAAAATATTTAGTTAATGCTCGATTGGGATCTCATTTTGTATCTTCTGCTCTTGGGAAGAAAGGGGGTGTAGTCATTTATGTTAAGCAAAATTTATCAGCTCGTTTAGTAGATTCTGACCCTCAAGGGAGATATGTTATGATTGAAGTGGGACTGTATGGTAAGAAAATACTTATAGTAGGTTTGTATGCACCAAATCAACAACAGGAACAATTTTATAGGTTGTTACATCAAAAATTGATTTTATTGGATTATAGATCTGTTATATTAATGGGAGATTGGAATGGAGTTTTAGATACATGTAGAGATAAAAAAGGACTTTCTACTTCCTTTAAACAGGCTAAATTACCTAAGGCCTTTTTTGATTTGAAAGAGGACTGGGAGTTGCAAGATTATTGGCGAGAACATAATTTGGAAGAGAGAGACTTCACTTTTTTTTTGGATAGACATCAATCTTTTTCAAGAATTGACTTTTTTTTATTACAATGGATTTATATTTTAGGGTAAAGAATGTAAAGATATTTCCAAGGACATTGACATATCATAGTCCAGTATGGATGGAACTGGTTACTGAAAAAGAGGAGAGAAGATCTTGGAGGTTGAATGAAAATTTGTTTAGGCAAGAAATGAATGTTCAGAAACTTAAAGAGCATTTAAAGGAATATTTTGTTTTAAATATGCATAAGGGTACTTCAATGTCAATGGTATGGGATGCAGGTAAAGCTTATATGCGTGGGGTTTTGATGCAAATGAATAAGATTCATAGACAGAAACAGGTGCAGAAACATAATGAGTTGGAAGATGAGATTAAATTAAAAGAAAAAGTTTTAATTTTGAATCCTACAGATG